TAATTTCTTTCTTTAGCGTTCTGTAGTTTTTGTTATAGAGGTCTTTCACCTATTTTGTCAGGTTTGTTCCCAAGTATTTTATTTTTTGGTGATGCTATTGTAAATGGGGTAATTTTCCTTGTTTCTGTTTCAGAGGATTTGTCACTAATATACAGAAATGCCTTTGATTTATGGGTGTTAATTTTATATCCTGCTACTTTGCTGAATTCATTTATTAGTTCTAGAAGTTTCCTGGTGCAATTTTTTGGGTCTTCTAGGTATAGAATCCTATTATCGGCAAATAGTGCTATTTTGCTATCCTATGTTAAAATAGTGCTATTTTAATATCCTATCTGTATTGCTCTGTCCAGTATTTCAAGAACTATGTTAAACAGAAGTGGTGAAAGAGGGCATCTGTGTCTTGTTCCACTTTTTAGAGGAAATGCTTTCAGGCCCAAATCATCATGTCAAATTAGACCCTGACTTTCTTAATAAGACTTAAAGAATTAAAATAAAAAATCAATAAATGGAATGGACTCAAACTAAAAAGCTTCTTCTCAGCATAAAAACAATCAGTGAGGTAAATAGAGAACCTACTAATTGAGAACAAATTTTTACCATACGCATATCAGATAGAGCACTAATTGCAAGGTTACATGAAGAACTCAAATATTTTAACACCAAAAAAAACCAAATAACCCAATCAATAAATGGGCCAAGACACTTCTCAAAAGATGATATTCAATCAATCAACAAATATATGAAAAAAATGTTTAATGTCTCTAGCAATTAGAGAAATGCAAATTAAAACTACTCTAAGATTTCATCTCACTCCAGTCAGAAAGGCAGCTATTAAGAATACAAACAATTAGTGTTGGTAAAGATGGGGGGAAAGGCATACTCATATACTGCTGGTGGGACTGCAAATTGGTGCAGCCAATATGGAAAGTACTATGGAGATTCCTTGGAAAACGGGAGTGGAACCACCATTTGACCCAGCTATCCCACTCCTTGGTCTATATCCAAAGGACTTAAAAACAGCATACTACAGGGACACAGCCACATCAATGTTTATAGCAGCACAATTCACAATATCTAAACTGTGGATCCAACCTAGATGCCCTTCAGTTGATGAATGGATAATGAAAATGTGGCATATATACAAAATAGAATACTATTCAGCATTAAAAGAGAATAAAATTATGGCATTTGCAGGTAAATGGATGGTACTAGAGAAGATAATGCTAAGTGAAGTTAGCCAATCCCAAAAAAAGTAAATACCAAATGTTTTCTCTGATATAAGGATGTGGATTCATAATGGGTTTGGGGGGTAGAGCATAGGTGGATTAGACGAACTCTAGATAGAGCAAAGGGGAGGGAGGGAGAGGGAGAGGTCATGGGGGTAGGAAACATAGTAGAATGAGATAGATATCATTACCCTAAGTACACGTATGAAGGCACAAATGGGGTGAATATACTTTGTGTACAACCAGAGATATGAAAAGTTGTGCTCTGTATGTTTAATATGAATTGTGATGCATTCTCCTGTCATGTATAACAAATTATTACTTAAAAATAACTAGAAAAAATAAGAAAATTTAAAACTCTATTCATGTAAAACTCTCATTACCTTTAACACATTGTCAATTTAATAAGAAAATAGCTGCTATCTTTTCTTAAGCAGTACAAGGCCATTTGATGACACAAAACACTGAACACATTGATGGAGCAAAGTACCCATGAGTCAATCCCTGTTTTGATCACTGGCCTTCAGTGAGGTTTATAGTCACAGCAACGCTTGAGGACATTGCCTGTACTTCAATAATGAACTTCCCTTTCCTCTCTGTCCCTTCAGTAGGTCAAGTTGGGCAGTGGAGGCCTGTGGTGGAAGCCACGGGGATGTGAATGTAAAAGTTCCCCCTGGGACTAGATCCCTCTGGCTTACCTCTGAGGGGTGAGAAGAAAAAAGGAGGTAGTTTGCTTTTTACAGACTCAACACTCCTTAAAGCTCTTACCTTACCTGATGAAGAGTCAGACTGATGACTGTCTCTGAGATCACCTTCAATTTGCCCCCCAAAAAAATAGGAAAATAATGCCTCTTTTTGCTCCTAAATAATTCAAGCTAAAGAAATAAATGATAAAGATACTCTAGAAAAGCACATGTTTGGGAGGTAAAGAAATAGGAAGAGATAGATAGCTGAGTCTTTTCTCACCCATCCATTTTGGCTCTTCATCCCATAGTAACCAGAAACACATAATGTACTTCTGCTTTATTAAGCCATTTTAGACCTTTGGTATTAATCCCTCTCTCAAGGCCTCAGGGCCCTCTTGGGTGACCAAATTAATCTGAGAAGAAAATTCACTTAAGGAACTGATTTATGACTGAGAGAAGTTTAAACAACACTGAAGGACTCAGCCTCAGAAATTAACCAGTCCAAATTAAGGAAAGAGAGAGGGAGTTCTGCAGGGGCAACTTCAGATGATATAGGTCCACTGGTCCACTCTGTGGAGATCTACTTTTCAAGCCACAAAGGGATACTGAGTCTGACCAAGGTTATTATTGGGATTTTTATATCTGCGAGGACAAAAGATAAAGCCCAATATATTATCTCACTTCAAACAGATTTGGAGGAGGTACAGATGAGGAAAACATAAGATAGCAAGAGGAAAAATAAATTACTTCTTGCCCCTTAAATGAAGCCACAAGACATCAGAGTCAAGTGATGTACAGGGCTGTAAGACACTGCTCTGGAGTTAAAGGCCTTATGAACAGAGAAACATCTCTTTCCACATTTGTGCAATTATCCTCCATTCCATCCTGCCTAAGATATAGAGAACTGTATTTAAAAAAATCACTGTCCCTGAAAATGTTTATTCCATCCATCGTCATGATATTTCCAGAGGCCCCACAACTACCCCCACTAGACTAGCTGGCATCAAAGGTTGCACTGGAGCTCTTGAGTCTGAGGAGCACAAAATAACACCAGCAAGAGAAGAAAGGTAAAGGGGTAACAAAAGGTCAGGCATAAAGACTCCAAGTCTGGTTTGGCTGGGGAAATAGCTTAGTGATAGCATGCTTGCCTAGCAGTCCCAGCTCTGAAGGGAAAAATCCAAGGCTGGGAAGGAGAAAAAAAAAAAAAAAAAGGAGAGAATTGGGAAAGGGAGGAAAAGAAGAAGGAAAAGGGACAAGATAATTTTTTAAAGCTATGAATTCCTTTCTCCAATTAAAAGTCACTATCTCAGTGTAAAATGGAACATATTATTCTTGACCACAGGCTCAATCCTAGCATACAGACCACATTATAGCCAAGCTCCTCCACTGTTTTCAGAAGTCACAAACCAGTTTCAGTGTCACTTCTGTATAGTAACTCCTTTCATAACCACACAGCTATCACAAAGTCATCTAGGACTACAACTTGAAACAGAAACACAATACTACACAGCCCTATAATCCAAGTCCATACCCTGATCTCAGAGTTTTCGCAGTCCCTGACCCTGCTTTCCTTGTTAATTCCACAAGAGACAGCACCAACCCTGAAGGGCTATTGAAAAGAAGCCACATGATTGGGAACCTGAAGATAGTTTAAGAACTGTCTAGTATGCCTCTACAATGAAGGCAACTTATTACTCATCACCTTCAAAGCCAGCCTCACAGGAATTATTCATTTCTTGTTCCTTTTTAAATGATTTTTAACTTTTGGGCTATTCATTTTCAATTACCCAAATTTTCTATGAGAGAAAATGAGGGGCTAGTGGCTCAGCAGTAGAGTACTTGCATAGCATATGTGAGACCTTAGTCAGTCCCCAGTACTAAAAAAAAAAAAGTTTCTTCATCAGCTAGGCATTTTATCACATGGCTATAATCCTAGTAAGTGGGTATGCTGAGGCAGGTGGATCATAAGTTCAAGGCCAGCCTCAGCAATTTAGTGAGACCAAAAATAAAATAATAAAAAGGGCTGAGAGTGTGGCTCAAGTAGTAAAGCACTCCAAGTACAATCCCCAGTATCAAAAAAAAAAAGGAGAAAATTAATATTGAGGAGATAAGCAGCAGCAAACAGGTATCTAAACAAGGTCACAGTTAAGAAATAAATATTTTCACCTGTGAGTACCAAAGAAAAACTTCATTGTTCCATCAAACTACCTGCTACTTAAACAATAAAAATAAATTACAAGCAGAATCAATGAATCCTTTGGCTAAGGGCTTCTCTTATACAAGAACACCTGAGTCACTGCTCCCATGGACAGACACTTCCATGGGAGCCACCACTACTAGGAGAGACTGCAACACAAGCCAAATTCCTTGAGAGTTAAGGACATTGATTTTATCACCTATGTACTGGCAAGGATTTAGAAACTCAGGGATAGATGAAATCCAAGCATAAACATTTTATTTTTTGTCAGCATTATCATCTAAATCAAATGTTAGCCTAGACATAATCTACAAGGATGTGTGTATTCCAGAAAATATGACAAATACCCAATGTGAGTTCCATCACAAAATACGTATTTGTTGTTGGTAAAAGTAAATTATAAAATCTGAGAGTAAAGAATAACAAAATTATAAATTAAATAACAACGGACTAAACAATAGCAAAAAAGTAAAAATAATAAAGTAGATATAAATTGAGTGATATCTATGTTAATAGAGCAAGAAAAAAGTTACAGAATCCAATACAGAATTCATGAAAAAAAAGATAACAGAACCAAAGATATTCTTTCAGAAATGTTTCAGAATGGACACAAAAACTATCTGATGAAAAAGTTGTACGAATCTAACAGATTCAAGACAACTATCTTGCAACCTCAATCTTTACTTAGTTGTTACAAGTTATAGGATTTTATTAATACGGGGAATAGCAATGAAATGACCATTTTACTACTGCTCCAGATGCACTGTTCTTCACTCTACGTAAAGATATTGCAAAGACTAACAGGCATATTGTTTACTACTGTCAATCTGGTGGAAATTTACTTGGACATGATTTCTTGGGAATTTAAATGATTTTAAAAATAAAAACATATTTTGGAATGGAGAGGTCTATTTGACTTTATTTAAGATGCCAATACATTGTCAATCAATACCTGATTAGTTAGAGGTAGAAAGACATTTTAATTGTCTTCAGGAACACAAAGTTTCTTTGTGTTTGCTTGAACAAGTATACTTTGCAATCTGCCATTGTGGAATCAAACTGGACTTCTTGATTCTTGATTCCCCACTGCAAATTAGTTAACCATTCATTCAATCTATACATTCACCACTATATTCTGCTTCAGGATGGTTATTTTGTTTTACATTTTATATAAAATAAAAATATGATTGCAATTTGTTGATATATGTATACATATACATATATATTGCAGAAATGCACCTTAACCAGCAAAATTCTGCTAAACAATCATAGAAAATTTCAATAGAATGTGTTTTTCAATATGATAGCTTTTTAATGGCAATGAAAATAACAACTTATGGATTTAAATGTCTATGTTTAACCTGATAGGAAAAATATAACAAACATAAATTCTGAACAGGAAAAATGAGGTTCATGCTGGTGCTTCTCAGTGCTTTAATACTTCATGTTTAAAAAGTAAACATAGTACCAATCATCATTTTGATTCCAGTCAATAAAAACTTAAAACTACATTAATCAATTTTGAAATCTGAAACCAAAATGATCCCTTAACAGTATTGCCAAATGGCAAGTCTACTCTAAAAAGTTATTCACAATGAAAAATTTTGACCCAACTAAAGTGACTCTCTGTTACCACAGTACTAGAATCTACCTTTTTGTTGGGTTTCAATTTGTTATAACAACAAAAGACAGGATGACATAAAAACAGAAGTAATACAAGGCTTAATAAAATTTAATATTGGGGATTATGCATTTTTAACCTCTGGATTAAAATCCCTTTTATAACACAAATTCTACTGCATGATTTACCATGGCCTAAAAACTTTTTAGTAACAAAATTATATTCCAAAAATAGCATCACTTCTAGATTTTACATTCCCTGTAGACATCACAATCACTTTAAGCCTTTTATTATCTTAGAAAAGTAAAACTTTTCCCTGAAAAACTGTAAATAATGATCATATGTCCATCAGTTGTCCTGAACTACTTTCTTCAAGAGAAAGTGACTACATTTTGTCACTTCTTTATTCTAGAGTAAAAAGGATGACAGTGGTTTCTGAAAATGAAGTTGAGGAACATGAATTAAATTAGTAATGAAAAACTTTTTAACAACTGCTGGAATTTTATGTTGTTTTAGTTGTAAAACATCTATTATTTAAGTGAAACAGTTGACAGGGTAAAACACTGCTAAACTTCGCAAAACTTCTTTTGTTCCATAGGATTTTGATCCTTTCTAAAACAATGGCATACAAACTGAGTTATAAACAATTCAGCCTCTATAAATGACAACAGACACAATATATCTATAGGAGGTTTAAAAGATTTGTTTTTAAATATTCAAGTGTAATGCTATTGTAAAAGATTAAAACACATGTGTAAATTTTCATTTGTTCCTAACCTGCCATTAGTATGTAGGTTTACTGGGCTGCCAAACAGCCTTACTGGTCATGGAGAGAGATGGTGTTATTAGTTGAAAAAAGAGCATGGATACCACGACATTTACCCCAATGGTATAAAACCCATCTTTGCATCCCTGAAGTAAGAATGGCCACTTTTCTCCAATTACATTGCTCTATACTAAAGCAGCATTGTATATGGAGAATTCCTTCAAATCTATAACATTCTACTACTACAAATACCAATTCAAAACTTAAAAATAATCACAGACCAAATCCACGTACCCGTGATCCTTTATAAATCCTAAAATGAGAAATATTCTTAGTTTAAACCAAGAATTATATTGGAATGAACTAAAGACTCTTTTAAGTAATTTTAAGTGTACTCTTGTTATTACATTTCTATATAGATAATTCAATATCATTTGTGGACATAATTTAATCAATAATATATCACAATGTCAACCACTACAGTGATCCAGAATCAGATTCTGGCTACAGAGGAAGCTTAATTATTAAGCAACACCTTCCTAAAAAGCTTCTGTATTTCTGATTGGTAAGAAAAACAAAACAAAACAAAAAAGCATCTCTCATTGAAATAACACTGAAGTTCGAGCTGGGCCCCCTTCTTTGTATTCAACATAATTAACTCTTCAGGATATAATGATGAAATATAGTCACATTAATAAATTATAGCCATCTTCATGAAAACTCTATCGGCAACTCCGGTTTTACAACTGTATATCTTGGATCCAATCTGGGGACGAAATCCTGAAAGTGTTTAGATGCACCAGTACCAAAAACATCCAGGGCTTTTCGATTCATGACAGCAAATCTGTAAAAAAGAAGAAACAATGAAGAAGTATTTAAGGAAGTTTATAAAATAAAATTATTTCCTTTATTTGATTTAGTTTTCATGGAATGGGAGAACAGAAAGGACTAACCAAGATTCACTGTCTAATATTTAAAGAGATAATCCTCCAATCTGAAACCATTCATATTACGTTATTTCAAACCCTTCTCGACTTCTTTCCACATAAGTATGTCAAATAGAAAATTAGGTTCATTTTTCTAATGAATGAAATCAGAGGAAATTAAGAAAACAATGAATGAGCTAACATTTACCAATGAGACAAAAGTGTTAGATATAATTTCTCTCTTAATTGAGAACATAATGTCCTATAAAAATACATCCAAAAATGAAAATATTAAATGACTAAAAAGCAAACAGCATCAGGCCTTCCAATTTCTAATAGATATAAAAGAATAAAATATACCTTCGTGTTATACATCACCTAACTTAAGAAATGCTTTTAAAAGACACATTTAACTAATGCACAGGATGGACTTTTTGTCTCTCAGTGTCTTTTCACAAGGTTTTCCTGTCTGAAGGAGATAGCAAAATGAAGTTAATTTTGAATCACTGGCCAGCATCAATATTTCAAGAGCCATTAAATGTGACTTTTACTTCTTTTCCAAAGTAAAGTAAGTTCCCTTCCAAAATAATTACTAGGTAAAATCCATTAATTTTCAAAAAACTATGTACCAAAAAATGTGATGAAACAATAATAGTATGAAAGATACATAATGTCATGGCTGAGAAGAGTTCTGAAGCCAGAATGTCTGGCTTATCCCCCAGCTCTTTTGCTTAGTAGCTGTGTCACTCTATCTAACATTTCTGATTCTCAGTTTCATCAAATATAAAACTAGGGAGATGATAGCACTTATATCATTAAATTATTTTAAGGAATAAGTTTATATATGTGTTATATGTGTATATCTTGAAACTATATCTGGGACATGGTATGTACTATGTTAGCATTTGTTATATTAATCTTAATGATAGTAAAATTAATAGCAGCTATGATTTAGTGAGTGCCTAGTAAGTGCTAAGCACTACTATGAATATCTTAATTTTCCCACAACCATACAATGCATAGGGTATGCTTTGGATATGGTTTGCCCCCTAACGGTTAGTGTGCTAGAAACTTAGTCTAAGTATGGTGATGTTGAGGCAGAAGTAGAACCTTTAAGAGGTGTGGCCTAGTGAAGTATAATTAAGAGATGGGAACTCCACTCTCATGAATGGTTTAATGCTAGCCTTACTGAATGGATTGGGTCCTGTAGGAGTGAATTCGTTTCCCCAAGAAAAAGTTGTTATAAAGTAAGGCCAAATTACATGCTTGTCATGTCACCAGTTCCCATTCTGCTTCTTCACCACATTGTGATATAGCCTGATGGCCCTTACCAAAATGCCAGCACCATGCTATTTGTACCTGTCAGCTACTAAAATCATGAGCCAAACAAACCTCTTTTCTACATATGTTATCCAGCACCAGGTATTGTTATAGCTACATAAAACAGATTAAGACAGTATGTGTAATTGCTTCATTACAAAGAGAAAGAACATTAGGTTCATGAGGGCAAATAAATTTCCCACAGAAAAATGGTTAAAGGTACCAAAGCTGGAGTCACACTCAGGTCTCCAGGATTCCAAAGCTCATACTCTTCCTATTAGATCCAGCTTTCTCCCAAAGAATCAAATTTAGATTAGGGGAAGAACAAGGACTAGAAGGAGGAAGAGGAAAAGAAGGAGAAAAAAGGAAAGTAAACTTAAAATATCAGGCAATAGAAGATGGTTACTGAAACCAATTAATTATGTAGAGATGAACCCTTTTAATGAATCTGTTTAATATTTTTAATCAAAAAGAAGACATCATTATAGATTGGAAAAGGTAGGCTAAAGTATTTATGGAGCTACTAATTATCAGTCAGCAAAACAACAGGATATTAATCCAGAACGTTTAAAATGTCTAGAATATTATAAGGAAAGAATAGTCAGAATAATGATTATTCAATATTTCTTATTAATTTGGTCATATTTGATTTATATATAAATACCAACTTCGCCACTGAAAGAATATTCCTTGAAGGAGACAAGAGATTGATAATCTTTTTATAGATGTTTTTTTCTCCTTACCTGCCCTTGGTGAGCCTTAAAAGGAACTTCCAGTAAGATGGTCGCAAGGTCTGAACTTCCATGACAGCCTAAGATTATTCAATTTGAGATTTTTTTTAAGTAAATACAAACATCTGAAGTCTTGAGCAATACTTTTTATCTCTTTATTGCTTGTTGTATTTTTTAAATGATAGTGATAAAAATAATAATAACATATTTAAGTCAATATCTTTGAAGAATATTTATTAATATGCCTTCAAATAGAAATGCTGCTTTGGGAATAATAATTGAGTAATTTATTATTATCAGGAAGCATTTACTGAGTACCCATTAGATAGCTATCTAGCTGACACTTCACTGATTTTAATGAGTTTATTAATATAGCAGCATTCCTATAATAAAGAACAAATAAAAGCTCTCCCTAAAATTTTGCAACAGCCCTTTAAACCATTAACATCCATAATAATAATAACAGACTTAAAAAGATGAAATAATGCTTCTGCTAAACTAGTTCTTTCCCCCTCCCCATTCTCTGAGTAATGCTGGGGAAGTGCAATAATTCACATTTTACCCGTGGTATTTTTTTTTCTTCAGGAAGGATAATTAAATTGGGGGCATTCTAACCTTGGTTCTGGAATAAGGATTTACCTATAGATTGCACACTATTTAAACCTAAAAATTGATCTGTTCATAAAACGGTGTCTGGCCCATTAAGTTAACATTTAATGATTTGAAACATACAAACTATCTTGCTAAAAAAACAAAAAGTATAAAATGTAATGTTATGTTCTCAGGCTTTTATTTTTCCCCCTCTGGCTTAATGTAAATTAGAAACAGAAATTTCTATTTCTCATTTCAAAAGCTATACTTACTGCCTGGAAACAAATTGCTGTAGAGATGGAATAGATAATAGTATCTGCATGAGGAAAATAGGGAACCTTCCCTGCTTCAATGCCTTTGAAATACATTGTCTGCAAAATAAGCATAATGCAAGAGTTATATTAAAAAAGCATTAACAATATAGTTGAATGATATACGCCCTCTACCTACAGCTGTTTTCTATTTATCTGAATCCTAACTCTTTCAGAGCTCAAATCATGGTGTGTCTTCTGAGACAACAATAAGTGTCAGTCCTTCCCTTTCTTTCATTCCTCACTCTAAACTCTAGCTTCAAGCAGCAATAATTTTCTGCAAATTTCAATAGCACTTTATTGCTACTACTTTTATGTCATTTATTCTTCAATGCTTTTTATAAATAAGTCCTCCCTTCTTCATTAGATCTGTTCCTTCCTTTGTTCAGGCAGTAAACATTAATGGTGTCAACTGTATGCTGAACAAAATGCTAGAAACAAGGGATTTAGAAATGAACAAAACATAATGCATAAAATATCATTAATGCACTATGATGAGAGCTAGAAAAGAGTTATATATTACATATTATTTGGCTCCTCAAAATAGGGAGCAACCACTCCTTCTGGGACAGAGGACCAAGAAGACTTATTAGAAAGACAATTTAAGTAATGTTCCCCTAACCATTTGCAGTGAATTTATAATTGCTATGGATTAATGGCATTTATGATATAATAAAATGACTTAATAGAAAAAATAAATTTTAGAACTACAGAATTGAACCATACTTGCACTCTGAGATTCAAAGACAACATTACTCTGTCAAATAGCTGTAAAAGTTCCCCAGCGTTGCCAAGCATGATGGTATATGCCTGTAATCCTAGACACTCAGGAGGCTGAGGCAGGAGGATCACAAGTTAGAGGCTAGCCTGGGCAACTTAGCAAGATCTGATATCAAAAATAAAAACATAAAAATACGGCTGCAGATACAGCTCAGTGGTAGCTCTCCCTTGAGTTCAATCCCCAGTACTGAGGGGAAAAAAAAATGGCAGCGGCGGGGAGGGAGCTCTTCCAATGCCTGCTCTGAATTACTATATTACTTTACTTACCTTGACATGCTTGTCACGGAGAGGTAATAAATGCTTGACAAACTAGCACTAGTCAGCATACAACACTTTTAATTGTACCATTTTAAAGATGCATGGGATCAACAATTAGATAAAAGAAAAAATGGCATGAAAGTATATCTATGAAAGAGAGAGGGAGAAAGGGAGGGAAGGAGGAAGAGAGAGAGAGGGAGGGAGGAAGAGAGAGAGAGAGGGAGGGAGGGAGGAAGAGAGAGAGAAAGAGAGAGAGAGAGAGAGAGAGAGAGAGAGAGAGAGAGAGAGAGAGAGAGAGAGACACTACCAGTAAATACACATGTCTAGAACAAGGGAAAATTCATAGAAAGGGCTTTCTAGTATATAAAAAAGTTAAAGTAAAATGAGTGATGAAAATAATAAAGCAGCCCAATTTTTGTATTGGGCTGGCTTGAGTAAATATATGTAACGTATTAATAGGGGTTGGGATATATAAAAAGCATACGATTGTACAAAGTTACAATGTACTTAAGAAACAAGATGAGCAGTCACAATGCTGGCCATCATTTTGAAAGCTTTTAATATAAAATTTATTTCAATCATAGAAAAAAATTGCCTATTACACCATTTTAACTAATTTCACAAAGAGCATAATAAACATAAATTTCTCATTTTCTTTTAAAAATTCCTCATCAGTACACTTTACATGACAGTTTGTTTTTCCAAGATAAGATATGCCTGATGACATAAGATACAAAGTGATACCATTGCTTGGCTTAAAAACTAGTCACTTAGAAAGCAGCTGTAAAACACCTGTTACAAGCTGGATCTCAACACTGGCTTCCTCCTGTATCCAAGAATATAATTTGCTATCCAGGAGTTAGTTAATATTTCTTCCTTTTCTTCTCTTATTATAGAGAAGAAATAGCAATTCTTATCATCTCTATTACCAAACAAACCATATCTGTGTACTTCTTTCTATCTCTACACCTTCTATTCTGAAATGAGCCAACATCTTCTGCTAAAGACTTTGTTCTCCAAGCCTTTACTCCAAAACTCTAGGCATGAAATTGAAACAAACAGGAGTTTCAAGTCTGGATTTGAAGATGATACTCCTGGTTCTATCACTTGCCTCCCTTTAAAATACTCTCCATATAATATCCAGAGTGGTTATCTTAAAAATGTGAATTAAATCATGTCATTTCATGCTTAGACATGAACTGAGAAAACAACCAAATTCTTTACCCCAGGTTTTATTTATTTATTTATTTTTAAATACTAGCTTCTGCCTGTCTCTCTAATTTCGTTATGTATACTTTCTCTCTTCTTCTTCCCCTGTTGTTCTTCTTCTCCTCCTCTCCTCTTCTCTCCTTTCTTTCCTTTCTCTCTCCCTCTCCCCCATCCCGTGAATATCTGTACGCCCCCAATTGCTCCTCATGAATGCACCCATACATGCACACTAACACACTTGGGAAAAGCAAATATGTATTTTTTTAATGTCATTAGGAGCACAGATTTTCAGTGTGAGATAAAAGTTTATAAACATCTAACAAGTAAAATAAAATCTATAATCTTAACTTTTACATGGAAATAGCAATAAACTCCAAACATATTTTCTCTCTCTCTAAAAATAAAGGAGGAAGAAAAGATTCTCTAGGTGTGTTTATTGGAAAAAATCAAGAAACAATGCTCAACCTGGGCAAAAACACTAGTTTAAGCCTCTAAATATCTTTTCCCAATAAAAGAAATTAGGAACCACTGGGGGGAAAAGCTGATTCAATGTCTAAGACAGAAAATGTCTCAGATGAGCCTAAAATATCTTGTTAAAAAGATATTTTAAAAATCAAGAAAGGGATAAAAAATAATGGCATATGTCAAAACAAATAGGAGTCAACTTAAGGAGGCTCTCAAGGCCAAAGATTGGGACAACTTGAGCATAATGAATGTACTGGGTTACAACAAATCAGATACACTAAATCCATGTTTTTATAATTATATTTAAAAATAAATACAACTCACTTAGGCAGAATGCTAAGGTACTAACTCATTCTGAACACTGATAAAGAAAAGTAAGCAAGCATTTTATCTTCATTTCCTGAACAAAATATTTCAGAGTAGCCAAATACTTAAAATGGGAAAGTATTTTTTTTTATTTTTAGAAACATTCTTGCTAATGAATACAGTAGAAGTAACAACAGGTTATCACAATTTTGCAACACTTAATGAAATAATGAACTCCAGTAATGATCATGTATGGCTGGTAAAACTATGAGGTGAAAGGCTATTGGAAATCTTACATAGGTTCTGTGTATACCTGGTCCCATTAGTCAATTTAGTAGCAATAGAAAGACAACCATACATTTTTGTAACTTTTAATGTGATACAATGAGTGGGAATTTTATCCACAAAGAACATGTAAGGTACTTCTGCCACTTACCCTCACTTCTAAAACTTGAACTTGAATTTGCTTAAGCCTCTAGATCTACTTAACACTTTATAGGAAATACTTGAGATAAACATAATAAATAACATCAGTGAGAATTCAATCAGTAAAATCCAAAATGTGGGAAATTCCATGAACTAATGATCTAGATCTTCAACAAATCAATGGCAAGAGATTTAAAAAAATGGAAAAAGGAGGAAGAAAAAAATAACTATCATAAATTAAGAGACTGCATTTTGATTCAACTAAAGATATCACATAAAATATTTATAAGATAATCAGTGAAGAAGAAACTAATTAGATATATGATAATATTAAGTTTTTTGAAATGTAGGATTATAGTATTGTGGTTCTACTTACATGATAATGTTGATTCATTTTTAAAAAATCTATCCTGAGTTTTTTATAGGACAAAATGATACAATGTCTGGGATTTGCTTTAATTAATTCAGTACCTGAGAGTTGAGGAGTATAGATGAAAGGAGATTTGCCAAATGCTGATAATTGTTGATTTTGCATGTTGGATACACAAAAGTTAATTATTACACTATTCTTTCTACATTTGTGTATATTTGAAAATAGCACATGGAGAAAATGACTGTAAATACTTTTAAAGAATTAGAATTTGCTTTGGTAGTGAAGTTATATATTTGTGCTTAAAGCAGTCAGAAGTTGTTTTTTTTTTTTTTTTAAAAAAAGCTTTTTTTTTTTTTAAAAAAAAGCTTTATATCCTTTGGAACTGTTCATGCATAAAATTCTTTTCTTACCTCTACCAGTTTGGAAGCTAAATACATGGAAATTGTTGTGCTTTTATAAAACATCATTGATATACCCGCCAAAAATCCTGAAAAAACAAATATGAAAAAACTGATAAGATTACAAAGTATTTCTTTGCTATTAAGTCATCAGAAATGTTAATTCATTTAAATAGTTCAGAATTCACTTATTCCAGCATTGCTTCTAGGTACAACACAATTAAGGACAATAATATACTTGATGACATTAAAATGGAGTGAGTTCTTATCACATATTCTAGATTAAAGAAATTAAATTTCAGAATTAGGAACAAACAGTTCTGATTTATGTGTGACAACTACTGTTTAAAACAGTAGTCATTTTGGCAAATACAACACTTTTAAAATAACTTTTTAAAGGCTATTGGTATCTCTGATCTTAAGTGGGAGTATTTATTCATCTATTTTCCTAGCAGCTCAAATTATTTTTGTGCCAGGGTCACACTTTTCTATAGGAGTGGGATGTGAAAATACTAATAGTAGGATTATTACTAATAAATATCTGAAAAATAATCTCACTTAAGAACTACATATATTTCAGTTTAGAAAAATAATATCTATTTTTCATTTCTATAAAATGATTAAAGTTCCTTTCAAATATTATTAAAATATGTCATTTTCCATTGGCAAAAATAAAATTTAAAAAATCTACTTAAACTGCCATTAATCACTTATATAAGATTTTAAGTCTTTATGTTCTTTTCTGATACATTCTTTAAATTTCTAGCCTGTTGTAGGCATATCCAAGTCATTATATTGCAAGCAATATAGAACAATAAATGGCCAGAGTGGCAGATATGTTTAGCTCACAGACAAAATATTTGGGTGAGTGTCTTGGTAGGGATTCTATTACAACAGATAAAAGAAGATACATAAAAATTAGATGAATTTGGAAGCTATTTCCCATTTATTCTTATCACTGATTGATAAAATTGTAATCATTCTCTTTTAATTATTGCCTTACCAGCTATAATAGCATGTAGTTCATCATCCAGGTTTCTGATCCAACGCAGAAAGCAACTAGTACCCTGTATTGAGGGGGAAAAATATAATGACTTCAGTTATTTCTAAAAATAAAATTTCATGATTGCATGAAAATAACAATCATTAATGTGTTTCACTAGATGATTCATTAGATGACCCTGAAGACAAACTGGTGGTCTTATGTAAATTAAACTGACTACAAAGATTGGAAATATTATGAAAAACAATCTGTTATAAAGTCATAGTTCTAGATAGACTCTAATAAGAAATTACATATCATTTTTATTGAATTAATAAATGGTATGGCATCAAGTTAAAACACTTCTGCTTAGCAAAGGAAAAAAGAGTGGGAAGACAAGAGCTACAGAATGGGAAAAAAATCTTTGCTGGTCACTCTTCCCACAAGGGATTAATAACTGCAATATATAAAGAACTCAAAAATCTTAACACAGACACATAGACATACATTTACACACACAAAAACAAACTAATTAATAAATGGACAAATGAACTAAACAGTTCTCAAAATAAGAAATTCAATGCCCAACAAATATATGAAAAAAATGTCCAATATTCTAGCAATCAGGGAAATGCAAATCAAAACTACATCAAGAATTCACCTCACTCCAATTTGAGTGGCTATCATCAAAAATACAAGTAATTATAAATGCTAGAAAGAATGTGGGAGAAAAAGAACTCTTGTATACCGCTGATGTGATTACAAATTAATACAACCACTGCAGAAATCAGTATGGAGGCTGCTCAAAAGACTAAGTATAGAATTACCATATGACCCAGCTACACCACTCATTGGGATTTTTTTTTAAAGAATTAGTCAGCATACTATAGTAATTTACAGCAACAGATTCATAATAGCTAAGTAAGAAAGTCATCCTGGTCTGTCAACAGATGGATGGATAAAGGGTCAGTTCACCAAAAAACAGAAATTAAAAGGTTTATTATTTTATAATAGTTACAATATTATAGATTCTATTGGCATGGAAAATTTGTTTTTAAAACTCACATATGGCTTTAGAATACAATAAGTGACTATATTTCATGAGATCTTTTGGTTCAGTTTTATTTTCTTTAATGACTTTAGTTTGTATTTACAAATAAGCAAATAAATAGTATAAGAAATGAAAATCAAAAAGCAAACTAAAACACAATGCACATTAAGATAGACTAGATGGGGGAGAATAATCAACCTAGCACTAAAAATGTTGTAAATAATACATGTGTAAACATTTATGAGTTTTTGTTAAGAATAAATACAAATACTATAACATGAGAAATTAAAAAGAATGTGAATATAAACATGTAATTACCAGTAATTTATCCTTAACTCTTGCATGCTCAAAGAATTAGTAATGCTTCCTAGTCAAACCATATTGAATATTCTTTAGTATTAGTTAAGATTTCATAACAAGTGATTATTTAGAGTTCATCTATAGTTAGTTACTCTTTTCCATTACAAAATACTTTTTTCCCACCTACCTTTTATGATCAAACTTTTCCTTAAAATAATACATAACCATTTTATTTAAAATAAATTAACTCAATTTCAAATTTCCCAGCATTAACTTTTTCAAAGAAAAAATATATACATACATATATGTATAAATGGTACTTAAATCATCTTTAACATACTTTATAATTTAGAATATATTTAGGTTTTGAATTTAAATTTTAGATATCTAATAAAATAGGTCAGTAATATGATTAATATATTAGTAATTCCCATTAACCAAAAGGTGATTCATTACTTAAAGCTGAAAGTACTGTGTTAAGAATTATCTTTGTACATGGGTTTAGGTGTGGGTTTATATACCTTTGTGTTCATTTATAGGAATATACAGAAAGAGGTAGAAGAATGTTAACTCTTGTAATTTGTGACAATAATAAGAAGAGTGAGTAGATACAGAGTGAAAATAAGATTGTTTATATGTTATAAAAGAAAATCTTTATGGATTCAATCAAGTATTGATATCTGCTAGAAGGGTCTGAAATATGTATAAATTAATAAAAGTAGTAAATGTAATTAAAAACCACAGACCAGCTATATAATCATTTTTGACACTGGAAATATCAAGAAATTCACATTGTCAATGCATTCAAAAAGAAAAAGGAGTCTTTGGTAACTGTAATATTATATGTAAATGAGAGTGTGTGTTCCCATATTCAAGCATGTTAAATATCATTCCAAAAGAAGATATTTCTAAATATACTGTATATTTGGTGTCAATATATTTATGAATATGCTGAAAATAAGTATTAAATAAAATGATAGTTGAATTAAAGCCATATTTCATTCTTAAATTAACCATGTTGTTTATTATCACATTTTTCTTTTCTCTTCTTAAAAATCTTACCTTGTATATACTAACAAAAGAACCAAGAAAAGCTCCAAGCTGGAAGTTTTCTTTATTGTAGAAGAGAGAAAGTAGCCGGGATGGCTTTGTAAACAGATGCCTAAATGCAGAGGGGATTCGCAGGCAACACTGGATCAAGTATCCCACGCTAAACATTCTGATGAAACCCTATAGAAAATTGGGAAGAAAACTGATTTACAACCAACTTTTGAAGTTTGATAAAATATTATTTTTACCATATCAGAAGCAAAGTCAAACTCATAAATATTTAATATCACAGAAAATTTAAAAACAAAGCCTTAAACTCTCAAATAATAATTTTAAAACAAGTGTCTTAAAAATAAGAGTGAAATCTTGGAGTGAGTATATTTTATTTGATTTTAAAAGATTTTAAAAGTCTCATAAGCACTGGCCAAACTTGACTATGCACCAAAATTCCATTTCTTCTCATTTTGTTGACGATAATCAGGATTTTAAATTTCTAAACCACAAATGAGTTTAAGAAACAAAAGCACTGGAATTAATAAGAAATGTCTCACAAAACCAAATGCTTCTGGGAATTTTAACAGAAAATTGTTCTTAATCATTAGTACTAGTAAGGATTCTCTTGATAAAAAATTTGTATTATTTCTTTAGACCTTTGGTACAAAATTTTTTCAATGATCAAATTAAAAGAATATCTTAGGGAATATATAATTGTATCTGTGTATTTTATTCCTGTTCTCATGTGCATCAGACTAAAACATCTCTAGGGAATGGATGGTCATTTTGAGATATCCTACACTAAAGCCAGGCATAGTGGCACAAATTTGTCATCCCAGTCTGAAACAGGAGGATTGCAAGTTGTAGGCTGGCCTTAGAAATTTGGGGAGACCCTGTCTCAAAATTAAAAAAAAAATTAAAAGGGCTGGGGATGTAGCTTAGTGGTAGATCATTCCTGGGTTCAATCCCCAGTACCCTTCCTCTGAAAAAGATATACTAAACTAAACTTGATAATACACTGTAGTATGGTCTTCCATCCCCTTCTCTTCTCACCCCAACTGGCAAGAGAACATATCTGCATTCCTAGCCTTGCTTCCATGCTAATTCCAAAAATCAGATTTGTATTTTCCAGATTGTAACTTTCTTTTCTAGAAAACATTGAATTAGTATGAAGAAGTAAAGGTTAATTTACTTGAGCCTACCTAATACCTGTTTCAAACATGGAAAGTAAATTAGTAGATCAATTACTGTGAATTATCATGCATTTCCTTAATTTAAAGTGCCTAGTATTTGTTTAATGAATAAAATGGTCATACCTTTATTTTGTCATTGATAATCTTATAATGTTAACCTAGGGATTCAGGGATCACAATCACATGACAATCTTCTTATGCTATTTTCAAAAAATTAAAATTAAAAAAAATAAATTTTTTGAAAATCCACTCATCTACCCTTTTGTATATTCAGAAAATATTTGCTGAACATCTACTATATGGCAAGCATTACACTAGATGCTGAGGATAAAAAAAGATATAAACAAAAAAAGATATAAACTTCTGACTTTCATGGAGTTTCTCATGCTTGCTACAAAAAGAAAAAATATGTAAGGAAACAAATGAGCATAAAATAACTACAGATTAGAATAAATGTTAGAAGGAAGTAACCAGGGCACAAGAGCAGTCTATTTTATATTAAGTGGTAAAGGAAGGCTACTGAGAATGTGACTTTTAAATAGACCCCAAAGAGAAGACGTAGTATGAGAAAAACATTTCAGACAGCCAAGCACAGAGGCATTAATGAGTTTGTAAGTACCAAAAGTGTGAACCAACAAAGAAGAGGGTAAGAAGAGTATGGTGAATTGAGTAAAATATAGTTAATATGAATATTAATTAATTAATATTAATATTTACTCAGGGATATGATTTAATATGTTGTTTTACTGTCTTTGTGGAACAATGAGGTTCACTCTCAAAAACTTTTACTGTATTCATGGTGTAAATGCCTCATCCACAAGTCTCCAAATACTTTTATCAAATATTATAATATTGGTACACATTTGAAAGAATCACTGCTTGGTAATTGTCACTTATTTTCTCAAAAAAAATTTAATATCAACTTTCCCAACTCCAAATTTCTCAAAATACCTCTCTCTGATTTAATCAGAATGCTTCTCTCAGTTCCTCTCCTGAATTCTCCCCTTGAACTACGGTCATACTTAGTTGGAAAGAATAACCTCCAGGAGATGATAGCAGGTTCTGAGACTGCCAGTAATGCTATCTCATTTTTTTTCTTCACTTTATAAGTGTGGCAAGGAAATTAAATTTGTAAAGAGTGTATAAAAAACCACAGTGCACTGAAAATATATTCTACTGCTTTTACTCCTGGTCATATCTTTTGGGATTCTGAAGGTAAGCATGGGCTCAGGTCAACAGCAGTGTCAGGGATGGGCCAGAGGGCATTCATTCACATTCATAAGCACTGATGTGAGGCAGACAGTTTTTCTGCAGAAACCATAAGGAAACTATCTTTTGGGGTGTTATGCAATTCAGCTCTTCTCATCAGCAAATGGGGATTGGACCTTGCAAGAAAGGACATCAACTTTTAAAAACATCAGAATTATAAAGAGCACCATGCAAAACTAAGGAACTTGCTGCAGGTGGTGTTCCCTGTGCCAGGCTAACTGCAAAGGTAAGTAACTTTCTTCCAAGAGGTGGTAGTGATGGGAAAATGGAGGAGGCAAGTAGGGAGTAGTTTTAAACTATGACACAAGTATAGTAGGCAGTAGGGGATTAATTACACCAGTGGACATAGCAAACTTTCTTAATGTAGAGCAACTGAGGACATGATCCAATTAGCTTGATGCCTTTTAAAAATGTAATAGATTTATAAGTTCAAAACCAAATACCATTGTATCAGATAGTACACAGAGTATACAAACTGATCCAGATAGCAAATTATACAGTTCAAGGACCTGTTCTAGGATATACTTCTAATGAGTATATATTACCAAGTACACATTTTAATATTTTTTCTTTTTTCTTGTTATTTTTACCTCATCGTCTCTTTTACCTCATAAGTTTTAGATGAGTTATTTATTTATTTATTTATTTTTTGCAGTTCTAGGGATCAAATCCAGGGCCTCCCATATGCAAGTATTCTACCACTGAGCTACAGCTCTAGCCCAAGATAAGCTAATTTTAAAATTGTTTAATTAAGGTAAGTAAATATTAAAATATTAAATATCATTACCTATTCTCATGTTTTTCTTACTTTCTAGTCAAATACAAAGAATGTTAGTAATTATTAATGTCAAATTTTCCATTTACTTGGAAATTATTTCCTAAGTTGTTTTTACATATATTACCCAATAAGAAAGTAGATATATTAATATACTTACTTTAATGCAATAAGAGATACAATTATCTTCATAGTGTTTGCAACATCTATGCCTTGGTCCATGCTTGCATCTGAAATTAAATCAAGAAAAATAAAACTAAACTAATCATAATTAAAATATGTATGTACACATGTGTATATTTGTAGATCTGCTTAAAACTTTCTAAGGAAAAAAAAAGAAAAAAATATCTCCACTTTTTCTAAATGTATGCAAATTTTGTTCTTTTAGGACATACAGAAGGAAGGATAACAATATTTTGTTTTTTTGGTTGTTGTTTACCATTTGACACATGTATAAAATATGTGATTGTAGTCAAAATACTTAATGTGGAATACAAAAGTATTAGTATTTTTGACACATTATGAAAAATATGTAGAGATTATCTCTATACACTGCCAAATCTTGGGAAGCTTTAAATGGCTTAATGCATAGTGTAACGGTCATAAATCATCCATGAAGCCAGTACTTGAGCAAAAATCATAATGAGAATGTGCTCAGGTTACAGAAATTTATACTTAATTATATTTGAGAGAAAACATATGGAAAAGAAATATGATACAGTATTAGAATCAAAATGCAGTTTCTTAAAAATAAATACAGAAAAAAAAATCAAGTGGGAATTCAAAAGTAGGTTATTTGTGATTTAACTGTAAATTACTTATCCCTCTAGTGCTTAATATAAACATTTCTGTTGAGAGAACTGTTCAGAACATACTCATTTTAATTATTTGATGTATTATTGTAGGATTATTTATTCACCCTGGTGTTAAGAAGTAAGTAGACTAACATGGGTCAGCTATTTCCTTTCTCTCTAAAAGAGTCATGTTCCAAAAGAAGTCACTTCTTTCAGACTAGTCAATTATTTCCATGATTGAAACATATAAACACTTTCCCATTTATAATAAAACCTTGCAGAATAAAGTTCTGGCTCTGCACCTTTCTAATCCCATTTAGCAAATTGATTAGTGAGGTCTTTTCAGAAATCCAATTCTGGACTGCAGCTGGATTATATATGCAGCCTTTTCTAGTCAAAGGTGACAGCAATAGTTCATACTGACCTAAGCCCTTATGTTATTAGAATGGTATGACCTATCTGGTCATGTGAAGTATTGAGTGATTAAAGCTAGAAGTATAAAAAGAAGTGAATTATAGAAGGACTGCCTCATGCAAACCATCACTCTTCATACTTCTAAGAGTTCTCTTCAAAGATATTTCAGTCTTTGCTACCAGAGCTGAACAGAAATGATTAACCTCTCTTTGCTAGTGAAGTTAAATCCTGATTTCTACTAAACTGTCATCTTTAACCACTTTTTTAAAAGGGTTAAAGTCTGGACTGCTCCTCTCTTTTATTATTTGTTTTGCTTCTGTATTATTCTGTATCTGATTTCACCCCAGAGGACCTACTGAATCTACTATGACAAGTTCTGCCATGAGCTGATCAGTTCTGATACCCAAGGCATCATTCACTCATGAAACTCATTTTCCATTAAGGAGAATTCTCTCTTCCTTTTTTCCACTAACATAATCAAACTCTAACTACATTTTCTTTTGAAAATTTTATATTTGTTTTAATTGGTTATACACAACAGTAGAATGCATTTATGTACTTTGATATATCATACATAAATGGGGTTTAACTTGCTTTTAAATAAGTTCACTATAACGATTATTCCTGTCATCCACAATTTTCTTTACTCTTATCTTTTATGTATAGTATATGCTAAAATGAAGGCAAAATATTTAAATTCAGTAAAAATTTGACATCCACTCTGTGCTCCTATATTACATCAAGCAATTTCATATATTATTTTCATTTAATGCTCAGAACAATCTTTAATAGAGATTATTAACCCCAGTTAATAGATAAGGACTTTGAAATGCATAATAGTTAAATAAATCACTTGTCAAAAGTCATTAAGCTGGAAAAGGCAAAATGAGAGTCAAAGGTCAGTTTTCTGATTTCTTAAAGGGTTTCATCTTCCTATAATTGATCTCTTAACTTTCAATATTGCCTACTCATTTTTCCCTCTCTACAATATCATTACCATGATTGCTCTTATTGACTAATATTCCAATTTTAAATCATTAAATTTATTTTATTAAATGTCTATACTGGAAATATAAATGAACATATAAAATATAAAGATTTTTTTTCTTTTGTATAACAGAAAAATAAAGATCCCTTATTTCAGTCTGAGAGCCCTTGTAAATTTTTGTTCTACAAAATATTCTTAATTCTTAATCCTTATTATTTCTGTATCTCTTGAATCTCTCTCAGGAACTTTTCTTTCTCTGTTCTATAGTTGGCATATTCAATTAGCATGTTTTAATCTGTTTCCCGAAGTTCCCCATCATAGCCTCCTGCTACTTGAAAATAGAATAGTATTTAATTCCACCCAAATCTATTTTAAAGGCCTATGATGGTCTACCCTATGAGAGAGAATGAATAACATTCACTTGCTATAATGTACCTTTTGTAAAATTCTAAGCAGTTTCTGGTGAAAAAAGAAAGTAACATTGTTACCTGAAGAGAAAACAAAAATAATTTGGCATGGTACAGATATCATATAGTGTGCTAAAATATCAAGATAAAAAACTCACATTAAATTCACAAGTTTCCTAACTAGAGAAATTATATTCATTCTTCTTGGTTTTTCCTCATGTTTCTCTCTCTTTTGTTCCACTTTTGCATATGCTGCCTCTGGTGAATAAGAATGTGTGGGAATTTCTTCCTTGCCTACAATGAACCTAAAGAAAAGAAAACAATGTGAGGCACTTTACACTATTTTTAAAAAAATCGATAAGGAAAAAAAATTTTGTTTATCCATAAACACATTTTGGAGACTATCTTATTTAAAATAGTATTTTCACAATTAATATAATCTAGCTATCCTTAAAAGAAAAAAAGACTTTCAAATTTTAAATACTGAGAAATACTCAGAATTTTGAAGTCAGATTTAACATGCAGGTATTTTAAATCAAATTAAGTAAAACATAGCACAACACTTCTATGAAGCAATCTTTAATTAGGACACCTTTGTTTTAAGTTATTACATGCCTTAAAGATTTTCAAAAGAAGCAGATAGTTTTATGTCTACTAGTCAAACAAAAAAATATATTTTTCTCTAAATTCTACTAATATATACAAGTGAACTAGGTTCTCTTTTAGAGTAAAACTAAATTTGTACCTAATGTTACTTTGAGTTATAAACAGCTGCAGTGTAGTAGAAGGTCATTTATACACCTAGGAAAATAGAGGGAACTAAAGAATGAGAACAAGAGATCGTTAAGATTCCACATACCCTCATATTATTCCATTAGGAAATCTTAAAAACTGATATTATTCCAACTTACTTATTTTTCTTCAGAAAAATATCAAACATCCAGTAAATGACACCATTCCTATTTCAACAAAACTGGACAATATTTTTCCAAAGACAATGCAGATGTTACTACCATTAGATAATATTTAAGAAGTATCCTCTCTCAGAGCCTTCTTAACTGCGCTTTCCTAAGGATACTTGCAGAATATAGAACAAAAATATAATAAAACATACAATCAATAATACTACACCAAAATTCTGAAACCTGGGGCCTGTGGAAAACAAAATGTGAAAATTTAAGCACTCAGAAAAGAGAGAAAGAAAAAGCTATTACAATCAACAACTGGAATCCATTCTGTTTGGACAAACTTGGTAAAACATATAGTTTATCAAATGATAAGGGGTGTGTGCAAAAGGTTTATTTGCCACCAGGTGTCAGCTGTGAATCCTTAGTCACTCTTAGTCCAAAAGAACTTGTTCCTTACTCATGAGGGTACCAGGAGAGTTTAAGATAGGTACTACTGTAATTCATCAGCAACACAGATAAAACTATTTTAGAATAAATGCAACAGTAGCTCTCACACCTTTCATAATACTGTTGCTCTTCTGATAGTGTTGACTATCTCAGATTAGAGGTCACTTCTTTTTTAGATGTTGTCCCTGCCTGAAGTCAGGGGGAGTAGGTGATCCTTGCTCTGTACTCTCACAGTGCAATAACCCCCAATACTATATGCACCATTTTAATACTCTGTGCCCCCACTAAACTGACCATAAGATTATGTAGACCATGAGATTATGTAGATTTTCTTTGCTACTATATCTCAGTGTCTAGTAAAGTGTGTGGCATGTATATAGTAAATATTTGATTAATACATATTGAATGAGTGAACACAGTAATAGCTAACATTTTCTGAGTATTTATACACAACAGACACAATGCCAACCAAGCCTTTTACAAATGTTAAATCATTTTAATATTTGCAACACAGGCACATTATAGATATCAAAATTCTCATAAGAATTATCATGAATAAGTATCTTACCCATTATCCACTTATAATAAGTCATATTAAATTCGTCAATAAGTTGTCAGTAATTATTTGAACATGGAATGATCCAACCTGAAGGCTTTGTCTCTTAATCACCAAGCCATGTCCCCTTGTTTTACACTAGAGTAAACAGGTATTAGTGCATCTTCAGATAGATACTACCAGCACTAGCTCTTCTTCCTAGGTTCTGTCCTTGACTCTTTCTATTTACTCCTATGACTTCTACTATTATATGTATATGGAGATAATTTCTAAATCATTCTACACAAAATTCCAGAGGAAGCTTCTTAAAGCTGCTTCTCTGATCCTCAAAAGACTTTCACTGCCTTATGGACTACTAAATTAAATACAACCTCCTGTTTAAAACACTATCTAGGACTGTGAAAGCACTCATTGTATGAGTTCTTATTATGCTTTATAGCTAAATGAACTACTAGCCATTCTCCAAATAAACCAATGCCCTGATGCTTGCTCCTCTTTCCTGGATCATTCTTCCCTACATCTTTGCTAAATGCTTATATGCCTTTTAAAGGCTATTTTACATGCTCCTTCATCCCATCCTTTATTTATCTATTTATCCATCTATCTATCTATTTATCTATCTATACCCTCTCAAAGGTAAAGGAAATAATCACTGAAATATATAGAAAATTTCTATTCTCTCACAACATATGGGCTTTTCTATTCTGTAAGTAATACTATGCTATTTTCTTTCTTTTTTTACCTTTACTCCTATCCACAACTTAGGAATAGATTAAGTTAGGTCTGGATAAAATATTCCTGAGACAATTTACACTTCTCTGTTGTAACATGGGGCATAATTATAATTGACATTGTCTTCCCACCAGACGATAAGCTCTAAGGACAGAGACTATATCTGATTTATTCACCAGTGTAATCCCAGGGTTTAATACAATTCCTGGGGCAAGTAATCTGATTTTCTGTGAATGAATGAATGTTATCTGACTTTCACAAGTTGAGTGCTTAAAAAAAATGAGTGCTGAACTAAACTTAAAGCTGAATTTTCTAAATCTTTTCAAGCTATGTCTAATTGAGAAGTATTAAATAAAGTATGCTGTGAATATTTACTTTGTAAGTAAAGGATGGTTTTCCTCAGATGAAACAATGTGTTTTAGTGATAGAGTAATTACTTCAAGCCTGTTTGTGACTGTAACCATTTAAATTTGAGAATGGTGAGCATTCCCCAATATATCAGGCACTATATATATTTTCCTCATCAAACATTAATAATGCTAGGAAGTCATATTAAATTTGGCTACAGCAAGTATTTTTCTCAATCTTTTTGTAATTAATATTAAATGCTGTATTTTTAACATACTATAAATTTATAGCATATGTCTACAATAAAAATCAGTACAGCTAAAAATCTAAAGAGGTAGAATTAGAAAACCACGTCAGAAAATACTTTTTGTAAGACTATATATATTAGCCCACATCTTTTTTTTTTTTAAATAATGAAACTTAACAATAAAACGTATATTTGGCTTTTGGTACTATTCTGAGTATCAACTTTGTATCTCTGAGAACAATCAATTTGTAATGTGGAAAACTGGAAATAAAATCAAATCTATTTAATGGAAGGAGATATACAATATAAATTCAATAACAACACATAATACTTAATAGTTTTATCTATCTATCTATGTATCTATTGGTACAGGGTATTGAACTTGGGGGCACTTAACCATACTGAGACATATCCCCAGCCCTTTTAATTTTTTATTTTGACACAGGGTCTCACTAAGTTGGTTAGGGTCTCACTAAAGTTGGTGAGGTGGCCTGGAACTTATGATTCTCTTGCCTCAGCCTCTATAGTTACTAGGATTACAGATGTGTCCCACCACATCCAGCTATTTAATGATTTTTTTAACAATAAAAGTACTAGCAAGAATTAATTTTTTCCAGAATATTTTCCTATAATACAGAAAAAATTAAATACAAATGGTTCAAATTAGCACTTTATTACAAGTGGATTTGAAGAAGAGACAAAAATATATGATACATTTTGAATTTTTGCAAAGGAAAACAAGTTTTCTCTTTAGAGAAACCACCCTTTTGTCATCAGCTCTCAGTTAAAACAGAATGCTTTATAATCAATATAAGAATAACAGCAAATTAAAACAGTTATTTTGTAATAAAATTTTATATTTTAATTAAAAAACAAGGTTAAACATTTTATTGTGTATTATGACTTAGAAATGTTTTGCTACCATAGCACTTCCCCCAAATAAAAATATTATTATTATTATTTTATTTATTTATTTTTGCAGTGCTAAGGATTTAACTCAGGGCTTCATATATGCTAGGCATGCATCAAAAATATTCTTAAACACACTGTGGACTCAATTTTTTTCCTCATAAACCAGTTTCCTTGCAAGTAATCTGATTTTCTGTTAATGATACCTTCTTTCAGGCATGTGGGTTTTAAATATTTTACTGAAATTAAAGAGTGGAGGAGAAGACAAAGAAACAAAATATCAGTTACAGGGTCTTCATTTTCTTACATTGCAAGCTGTGTCTTTTGCTTTCTAGTGTACCCACATCCCTGTCCTTATTATTTCGTCTTTGTATCTTCTGATTTTCTCTTTTTCAATATCCCAAATACTAGGGCAAGACTATCTTTCTGAAGCACTGTTAACTACCCTGCTGAAAAATCTTTAGTGGCTCCTACTGTCCCCTTAGCAAATCCAGATTTGTCTTTTTTTTTTTCCTTCTATGTCTTCCATAATCTGACTCAACTTTATCCACCAGAAAATATCTTTATATACTCAAATACAAATTTTTCTTACCAATTATGTTAATTTTCTCACTCTTGCCTCAGATTTCATGTTTATAATGTTCATCCTTTTGCTAATGTTATTCCCTTCCACTCTGAGGTTCTTCCTCTTTGCTGTCAGTCATCTAAAGCTATCCTTTAACTATAGTTTAAGGCATGTATCATCTATCAGATTAATAGCAACAATAATATCTGACAGTTTTTGAGTACATCTTATTTGCCAGGCACTGTGCAAACACTCACTTGATCCTCAGCATAACCTCATGAAACAATACTACAAAAACTTCTCCTAGTACTAAAGCCTATTCTAAAGTTTCCCTTGGATATTTGTAGTAAATACCATGCTACTAATCTTCATTAAGTATCTCCTACATGTATTTTGGAGAATAAAACAGGGAACATTTGTAAACAGGAAGATCATTGAGTGTGGTAGAGTCAGTACACTGAGTTACTTATACGATGTTAAATTAGTCAAACATTCTGACCCTGGTTTCTTCATCATGTCACATGAGCAAAAACCAATTTCAGAGATGGATGCAAGATTTAAATAAATAAACTATGTGACAACTCACATTTATTGTGTGTTAGTGTGTGTACACATGTGCCAACTACTATGATAAGAGATGGACTATGAAGTAAAAGAAAAAGACTCTAGCAATACTTAAAATCTAATAACTGTTTGACAACACATAAGTCCTACTTATAATCCAGTCCCATACAATTAAGTAACTTTTTTTGGTAATTGTTCATTGTTCATGTGGAGCTTTGTTTGGTAAAGTTCTTGTCTTTCTACCCTACAGTATAAATAAAACAATGGGTCCAAAAAGTAGGAGTCAATTGACTGATTTTTAGGGGGTGGGGGAATCTGATAAATTACTCTTTTAATGAACTACTCACAAAGGCTTGGATATACTATCATGACTTCTAAAATTGACATGACCTTAAAAATTTAGTCAATGAATATTTATGGCAGTTTACATATAATATTTATCTTTTTTAAAAAGTTAACTTATATATTTGCTTTCAATATAAAGATAAATAAAATATTACTTACCTAAGTGCAGAAAACGTAAATCCTTTCAAACCATCTTTGCACCTGAAACAAAAATTTACAATCATAAAATAGCATGTTTTGGTATACAAAGTGGTATATTAAATAGTGATTAAATTTTTTTTCTGTGAAGAATTATTGTATCATCTTAAAAATCATCTTAAAAACATTTAAAATATTTTTTAAACAGTGCAGCTTCATGTTTTAAAATCCTGTTTTAAAAGGTAAAATGCAGGGTTAATGACCTGAGCATTACAAATGGTCAAAAAAGCAATAAGCAATAAAGCAAATCACTTTACACAAAATGATTAATATGATAATACTTTGTATGTCATATTAACATAACTTGCAGCTCAATTCTCGGATCTGGTGGCTGAAGAAAGGCTAAAGTCATCTTCTAAGAGCTCCACCTGGTCTTAAAATAGGGATGGGAGCAGAGCATTCTTCATTTTACCTAGTCTCTGGGAGACTAATTTGCCATGAAGAAAAGGGCCACATACACTTGCATGGTGTTACATATAGGTCAATTTGAGGTCCTGACTTGTCTTATTAATTTGATGAATGCAAAACAACAGAGTTGGCATGCCCAGAAAGCATGGGGAGTGGGCATGGGTGGAGGCAGGCAGAAAGGGAGAATTCCAAATAATATTTATTGAGTGTTTATTATTGCTAGGCACTTTTTGGGGCCCTTGATATGTGTTGTCTCTTTTAAACACATCACAATTCTGTGAAAAGGTTTTCTTCCATTCCATATCTTCATAGGGTTCAAAATAATGCATTAACTTCCTAGAGAACAAAAAATTAATAGCAGAATTCATGGTGGAGGAAAAAGTTGATCTGACTTAAAACATGTTTTCTCCTATCCATCCTACTAAAAAATTGTCTTTAATTAGGGAAGATACAAACTACATGGTAATTAAGGAAAAAAAAGAGAGAGAGAGAGAGAGACTCAGGTTTTCAAAAACTATTTAAACAATATCATAAAGTAGACACCTAATACTCTAAGACCCTTTATCTAAGGTGATTATACCTACAACTAAACCATGATATAATCACCTTAAAGGGCCACTGGGAATTTATAGTCAAAATTCCTTGAAAAAATCCATAGATTAGTGATAAAATAAAATTCTAATGAATATTAATATTAGACAGATATTTTGGATAAAAAAACAACCTCAAATCAGGCAACTTTTTCTATGTATCTTTTGAATGAAAAAGGCCACCAAAGAAATGCCCAACATAAAGGAAATCTATCTTCGTTTAAAATATATATACTATTATTGAAGATGATAAAGAATCTCAGAAAAAAATTTAATCAATGTGCACAGAGATATTTAAAAACACTTTAGGATGCATTTCAATTAATGACATGATCTACTTTATGGTCAGGCTAATGATGAGAAATGTAACCACTGAATTTAAGTAACATACTACAGAATTATCCACCCTATACAGAATGGAAGAAAAGACAAAATAATTCATATGTTAAGCTAAAAATGTGCATGGGGAAATTATAGCATTAAAATTCTTAAACTTATCTATTTCCATCTGAAGAAAGTGTTTCACAGTAATTTAAAACCCATAATCTAGTGAAGTGGCGTGGTAAGGGAGTAGGCTAGGAGCCTATTGACTGCAAAAAAGAAAGCAGTAGATTGATTAAAAGATTATGTACATCTGGGAACAAATTTTGGCTTTGGTATGTTATTGTTGAAAAGATAGCCATTTGTCTTTGTGCAATGCTGAATAGATAAAAGATTCTGACAACTTGGTCTAGTCAGCATTGCATATTTGTGACCCTCAACAATAAATTTAATTGCAGACCAAAACATCAAAAAGTAGCTTTCAAGTATAAAAGGAGCATATACAAGTGAATTTGCAATTTCATTATGATGGAAGTTTAGTTCTGTCAGTAGAACCCTGTGGGAAGCACTTCATATTGATAAAGTCTTAACATGGATTCAAAAGGGGCTATTCTTCTTTCCATTCATGTGTATAAGGTTTGTTAATGTAATTGAGGGTCAGATGTCTATGTCAAAAGAACAAAAAAGTAATTATTCCCATAAAAAGAATCTTTAGATAGTAATATGGCTCAACACTATGACATCAGGAATACTGTCTGAGCTTTAACCTAACTATGCAACACTATTGCAATCTGTATTAAATGTAGAAAATGTGATATAAACATAAAGATTTAAACAAAGCATACCCTATTAGAAGGTTCCCTGCTTTTCTATGAACTTGGTTATTATAATGTAAATCAAATCACCTTCTTCACTTAAGTATTAATGCTCAGTAATTTAACAAATATTAACTAAATGCCTACTGTGTTCAAGCACTGGTTTCTGTTCTATGTAACAGTGAACAAGAGAGCATCCCTGCTTTCATACAACTGACAAAGTTGACATAGATATACAACAAAAAAAAAATTAAGTCATATCGTGAAAATGGCTATGAAAACAAACAAACAAACAAACAACCCTGTAGGATGAGAGGGGAAATAGTGATGGAGTCTGGCTTTCTTATTTTGCATTGTATAGACAAGAAGAATCTCTCTAAGAAAGTAAAATTTGATAATCTGATCAGAAACCTAAGGAATTAAAGGAAGGCATTTCAGTTTGAAGCAATAGCAAGTACATTTGTATCATGATGAGAAGTGGTATAAAATGAGGTTACAGTAACATAAGTAGAGGGAAGAAGTGGTCTACAATGCATGTAGACATGGAAAGGCCTTTGGAAGCTTCTCAGGACAGAAGATGACAAGCTCTGCTTTAAATTTTAAGAAAATCATGTTGGCTGCTGAATGGAAAATATAGGAAGGCAAGATAAGAAGCAAGGAGGCTAGTCAGGAAAAAGTAATTATGGTTAGAGGTAGGTTAGAGATATGATAAGAATCCAAATGTATTTCAAAAATAAGAGCTGGTATAATTCTAAATATTTTGGATGTGAGGTAAAAGAGAAAGATAATTTAGAAATTATTAACATGTCTTTGGTCTGAGTGAACAGAAGGATTAAAATGATCATTGACTGAAGTTAGGAATAATGGCTTCAAGAAGAAAATAAAAGCGTTAAATTTGAGATGTGTCTTGGTTACTTAAAGGAGAATGTAAAGGAAGAAAACAGCTGGTTATACTCATCTGATTCAGTTATGTGTAGTTCTTAAATCAATGAGACTAGATATAGTCATATAGGAAATCAATATAGATAAATATTCAAAGAATGAATATATTATATTCCTGTATAACCTATGAAAAAACTCTTTTCTAGAAGAAAAACAAAAATCAATTTCTCCTAATCATCCTTGACTACAAAGTCTCATTTTTATTTTCAAGTGTGCATGAAGATAATGCACTTTACTCATATACACAGACTTTTCTATTTAGTCTATGCAAATAACATAAAATAACTACTATAATTAAATCCATATTTACTGAATCTCTATTTCTACAAGGTTCTGTGCTAAGGAAAAATTTAACATAAAACAGAGCCAGGAAAGACAAGAAGGGTTTGCAGCATTACATCAAACAATCAATACACAGCTAATTATAGAAGTTCAAGTTGGAATTACACACCATGCACAGGAAAGGATAAAGAAACTCAATGTTATCATTATCATAACACTACTCTTGTAAAATTACAAAGTGTAAATGACAATAAAAGAAAAAGTTCTGCCCACAAGATTTTTTTCTCCCATGGTTAACTTCTATGAAATTACTTCCATGAGCTTTCATCTTTATTACAACATTATACCAGCAGATGTCGCTAGAAAACTATTTTTGGAAAACTGTAGTTCTGATGCGATTTTTATCTCAAACTTTTTTTGCAAGTTTTCCTCTAAAAAATAGTTTATAAGGATTCAAAAATGTTACTAATCTTAATTAAATTATGTTTCTTCAAGTAAATATTATGATATTAGACTTAATGATGGCTGATGTTCTTGTTCCTGTAATCTATCATTCCACAGAGATGGCTAAGAATAACCTACTATTTGGCACCAATATAAAACTTGATTATGCAAATATGCTGCTTCACTGTATATCTATAATTAGCAGAAAATATAAAAACAAACTATTTAGATTCCTAAAATTCTTTTGTCTACTCAGTTTTCTTTCATTTGGTAAAACTTGTGGGTGTGAAAAATATACTCTTATCAATTTTCTTTAAAATATTATTTCAGACACAGTGCATAGTGTAGTGGAGGAATCTTGGTGTTTACAAGGATATAGACACTAGTCATAATTTTTCTACCAACCTTGAACAAAGATCAATTAATTCTAGAGTTCAACTTCTTGGTCTATTAAAAAGGGTCTGAAATATATGACCATCCTAATTGGTCCACTAAATGACTTCTTATTCTGAAATTTTATCATATTATTTGATAGGTTCATTAATAAAATCATAAGGGAAAAAATAGAATAAATTATTCTAAATTGTTTGTGATGTTCAAAAACAAAGATCTTGCCAACACCAAGAATAAAACAACAAAACCTTTTTGTTTTGAGATTACTGGTTGCTATTGGGATTGTTATACTTGCTTATCATTTCATAATATTTTGATGAAACTTTTTCCTACAAATGTTCTCTTTCTTGAGATTAAAAAGTCAACTACTTAAATAGATACACAGTACTATAGGAAGACCTATAAGAAACACTATTAAGAAGCAATTCATTTTTATAGTCTCATTAGTGATAAAATATTACATTGTTGCTACATTTGGCATCCATGCTTAACAATTGATATTATGAATGGTAAAATATAAAATATTGCTTATCAGGTGTACATGGAATGTTAGAGAAAGTACTGTAAGAGGACACATAACCAATCTGTGGTTAGTGGGCTGTCCTACCTAGGATAGGTTAAGAAGCATGAGGAAAAAACAACTTTTTACTCTCTGTAGTGCTATATCATTTTGAATTTATACAACGCAAATTTATATATTATTGTATAAACTGTTTAAAATCAATTCTTGAACATTTAAGAACAGACTAAGCAACATAAAAGTTATTCATCTTTATTTCACTGAAACAAAGGAAAAGAATATTAAAAA